CGAAAGCTTCATTAGTTTGGCGTTGACGGAATTTGTTATCTAAGAAGATGCTATTTTCAATTCATTTTTCCCAAGCTCACAGGCCTTGTAGGGTTTCGATCATTAGTTGTTTTTGTACCTAAATAGTTGTATTGACATATGCATTTACTGAGAATTTAATTTTTCAAATTTAATTTGTTTAAAAATAACTGAAAAAATGTTAATATTTATTAAATTGTTAAGATAATAGTAACCTCTATAGTTTAGTTAGTACTATTTTTCTTCGAATTTAAAAAAAATCGTTGTCCTAAGTTGATTAAAAGCTGAGATATATATATTTTTTTATTTAAGCGCAGTGACCTTAATTATTAATATTAAGAGCCGAAATTTGGCGACAGTATACATTAAGAGCTATATTTTCACATTCTACATTAACATTAAGGTGAATTCAACTATTTAATTGCAAAAAAGAAGATAGCGGCAATGCGTTCTATTACTCGGTTTATCGAACGCGTGGGGAGAGCGAAGCGGAGTATGCGCGCAGGAAAATGATCGAGCGGCTTCAAATCGATGGAGCTGGAAAAATAGTACTAACTAAACTATAGACGTTACTATTTCATTTTATAATAATTACCTATCTTAACAATTTAATAATTATTAACATTTTTTCATTTTTGAACAAATTAAATTTGAAAAATTAAATTCTCAGTAAATGCGTCAATACAACTATTTAGGTACAAAAGCAACTAATGAATGAAATTCTATAACGCTTTTGAGCTTGGGAAAAATGAACTGAAAATAGCATCTTCTTAGATAACAAATTCCGCCAACGCCAAACCAATGAAGCTTTCGGGTTGAAATTTTTACCATTTATTAAGGGTGTAAAAAGCCTCAAAAATCCTGAATTACATGTGTCTGCGATGAAAATTGCATTAGTTATTAGCAATTGAAAAAACCGGACATTTTCGATCCATTTTTGAGCTCTTGCGCATAAACAAATGTCATTTTATAGGCTTATTTAATATCTACCTTTTTTGTATAAACTTTTTTTTGCTATGAATAATAGTTTTTTTACGCGAGTCAAAAAAACACTTTTCCATAACTTTGACCATTCTTTAAACAAAATTTCCCAACTAGCCTCGAGTTGATTTTTTGATATATTGTTTATAACACGTTTCTGAACAATATTTCGCAAAAAAACTTCAAATAGTTTTTTTTCCCGAAAAAAAGCTATAATGACTGGCCCACAAGTGGAATGTACCAAAGTTGGAATAATTATGGCTAACAATAAATAAATTTTAGTTTTTTAAACAAAAATAATTGCAGTACTACAAAGCTGACATGTTTATATAATGGAAGAATAATGCGTAAGTTGGAAGAACAAGTCGCTGTGAATTTTTCTTCCTAAAAAAATAACTATTTTTAAAACAGCTCTTCTAAAAATATTTCTTATTTGAAACTCAACATAAGCTAGAGTAGTTTTAAAATCTCATGAGCAGCGAAATGCGCGAAAGGCGTGGCGTATACGCATAATTCTTCTAATAAGCACGTTCTGAAAACATTGACTCAGAATTAGACCCCGTGCCTCATTACAACCAGAAATGAACTAAGGCGCTCGGACATCAATAAAGCCAACTGGCGAACGTTCGTTATATATATATTTTATTACTTAAATTAAAATAATAAAGAATTGGGCATTTTATTATGATTGTAACCGGATCAAAGGCTTGTTTACTCCACGAGAGCTCGAGATAGACTGTGAATAATAGATGTAATGTTTTTAGGACGTGGAATAATTTAGACGACGGTCGGAATTATGTTTCTGCGCATATGAAGGTCAAAGCTCATAAGATTTTGAAACAACTCTACCACTCTGCTATTGTGGAAATGAAATAAAACAAATCACAACTACTATAACATTTAATGGATATTAAAACTCAACGTTATGGCACGTTTTAATTAGTTTTATTATTGGATAAAATACGTACTCGCGCATTAGATAAACCAAACTGGTAAGCTGCTAACACTGGAAAGACCTTCATTAACCATAATGACAGAATTTGGAAATAATTTAGGAATATCCTAAACCAATTCCAACTGAGCATGTACACAATTGTTATAAGCAAATTTAAATTAAATTTTTGCGATGAATTCAACTTATAACATGTCGACTGCAATTTCATGTTGCTAATTTCATTTTGCGTTAGTATATGCAAGTAATACATCACCGTCTCGAATTTTATCAATATGTTTATACACCAAAGTCCGTGGACCATGTAACGTGACATTTTTATGAAATTTTCATCCTTTTGCTCTATATTTGGTCGGAAGACTTGCACCATCAGAATATTGCATCTTTCTCTAACTTCTTCAAGGGTCCCATCGCAGAGATTAAACCTAAAACAGAAAATAATACTAGCTGAATTTATGAAAAGTGATTTTGGACTACTGTCTCTTTTCAAAAGGATATAGCTGAATAACTGATAATGAATACCACATCGTCGGTTTAGACTTTTGTCGTTTTGAGAGACACACTGTTTCGTCCAGAAAACTCTACCGTCATCTAGCACACAACTAAGTATATGGCCAATGTGGAAAACCTACTACAGGACCTAGTGAATAAGAAGATAACGGTTCAAAAAAATGAGAAAGAATTAGCGCTTGCGATTTGAACCTGTAACATCCTCAAGAAACCACAAAACATAACAAAAAAAATTACACAGGAATCTAATTCTAAATGATTCAAGGACACCTCAACTTTAATGTCTTCCAAATATCTACCAACCAAACAAACCACTCCTCTCAATAGTGACTGCTATTGGATCAGTTTCTCACAGTTCTCACCTACACGCTTGGTACCTACGTGTCAAACTAAATTAAATGGTTAGTGGGGAAGACAAAACAACAAGCTAAAAAAATGCTAAAGATTTTATTAACAAGACAATCAGTTACTGAGAGTTGTCAGCGCCGCAAGAAACAACTACTCCGAGAGATATTTGCCCCTACCGGCATTGAATTATACTCGCGACACCTAGTGCAATAGCTAGGATCGTTTGTCAGTTAGTTTAAACCATCAGGCACATACCGATTTCGGACTTATTAGTCCTCATCAGTGTGTCATAGGTGCGACAACCGACAAACGACCCAGTTGTTCTTCGTCGTATCATCACGAAAAGGAAATACATTGCCGCGAAAAACAACTACTCCGAGAGCCTGTGCCTGGTGGGTTAAACTGACAAGCGATCCTAGCTGTTACACTAGGTGTCACGAGTATAATTCAATGCCGGTAGGGGCAAATAGTTCTCGGAGTAGTTGTTTCTCGCGGCACTGACAACACAAACTTTGTGTTACACCCTCTGTGGGTGGCAGTCGTGCAACAAAGTACCTGCAGTTAGCAGGTCGCTTCCTACTGTAGCCATTTAAATGGCACAATTGGGAGTCTGCACGACAGATGGAGCCATTTGCGCTCCCGCGTACAATCAGTTATTTATATGCGAGACAATATTCGAATTTAGACGTGCAAACCAAGGTAAGGAAATCAATTATCAATAATTTTTGCAAAACTGAAATTGTAGGTACATAATAAACAATTGTTCAATTCAAACCGTGAGTTCGATTTGTAATTGTATTCAAATTTATCAGTTACAACGTTTTCGACTTATTTTTTTGCGCTGATTTCGCACTGACAGTATTTCCATCCTTTAGTATTGAAGTTAGTGGAACAGCATACTTAGAAAATATACTCACAATCAATCTGCATGGGATGCAAAAGTACAAATAAGTAGAAAAATTTGTTAGATAAATGTCAATGAATATGAATACTGAGTACCTATCTTCAATGCCAATTAGATATCCAATAACTCTCCATACGTGGATAAATGCCTCCCATTCTTGGTTGGAAGTCTTATGGATTCCCAGCGTTTTACTTCTACATAGAGAGATCCCCAGAAAAGCGAACTGGCCAATAGCCATATCCTTTTGAGTTATTCTGTTCATCCCCGCCGAACAGATTCGATTACTTGTCGAATTATGTTGCTCTCTGATATTCGCAATGGACTTCCACAATCTGAAACATATTTATTAATAAATTCATAGATATACCATGATGAAATATTTATTTCTGTGTATGTTAAAATGAATTCCAAAGTATCTCAAACTCTAATAGACATAGGAAAATAGCAGATGACACGATTCACTTCGATTTACAAGACAATTTCAACTGTAAAAATATTTGTGTACTTGTCTTCTCTGCAAATGCTTTAAAAACTTGGAAATCGTCCAACGAATTCAGAAAACGTATTTGGTTATTAAGGTTTTTTGAGCCTGTTGTGTGGATTCCTCAGTGTACTATTGGGACGTTTCCTTCTAAATAAGTAAGGACGACTTCAGGGTATCGAAAGATAGCGAATATCTTTGAATTCGGCACGTGTACACAAGCCGGCCAGAGACTATTGCTCTGGTAATATAACTGCAAGATATGAGAGTCTACGTCCGATCCAACTTCATGGTGGCTCTGTCAATCCTCTAGAATTGTTCTTAGATATGGACTTTGACATCTGGTCTCCCCGGATTTGGGCGATTCATGGCTGTTGACTTATCCCATCGTAGAATAAAGCTGTTATTTTATATTTATATAAGACAAGTTGATTTCGTGTACCAGTTCGATTTTTTGGCATTCATGGCGTTTCGAAACTGGGTTAAAATTTTCCAACACATCAGAGTCTTCTGATGTAAACAGTTTTTGTAGTTGGATTCGAAGCATTGGTAAAAATCTCGATTTCCGCACCGCGTCCTATTTAACGTAAAAAAATATGTCTCAAATCAAACCAGTGGCGTAGGTATTAGATATGCTTATTACATATTTCTCAAAAATTAAGGCTGTAACCCGGTATAAAACAAATTTTTGAAGAAATAATTTAGGATAAACAGAACAAACGAATGTTTTCAACAAATTATTTTAAAACTGGAACAAATATAAACTAAATGCTGATGTTGCTAGAAGATTGACATATTAATATATTTTAGAAATTCTATATCTGCGGAGCAAGTGAACGACGTGAATTTTTTTGCAACTAAACATTATGAGTTAACAAAAGTTTGGAATATACAAAATGTATTTAAATAATTTTAGCTTTCAGCAAAAAAATATGATAAAAAAGGTATTAATATTTTTTTAAATGAGATATCCAATTTAAGTCATTTGTGCAAGATGGTAATTAACATTAATTGCATCAGGAAAAGTCTTTTACTAATATATTTCCACATACTAAATTTCATTTTAAACGCTCAAATCTTTTCCTTTTTATAACTGATTACTGATATTTTTCAAAAACTTTGTCGTCCCCTAGCTCCCTTATGGTGCATTATTGCATATAGATAAATAAGCGTAAATCGTTGTAGTATGACTATAAGAATCTAGGGTGGCTCGCTGGTACATACCTTTCAGGGACACCCTGTATATACAGGGTGTTAATTAAGTATGTATAATAAATTCAACAGACGATTATTTGAGTGATTTTAAGACAAAAAGTTCATATAAACATTGATCCGCAGATGCTTCGTTTTTCAGATACAGGGTGTTAAAATTTTGTAAAAAAATTGTTATTTTGTACATATCTTAAATACCCTTTACCCAATGTTGTTGTAATGTTATTTGTAGTGCTAATTTAAACCTAACTTGATTAGATTTATTAAGTCCAGTGGCACCGTGAGCGGTACCTTAACGAATATTTTTGTCAAGAATGTTTTTCGTATCTTTCTTAATTTTTGGAGAAAAAAAAATTAAAATCCACTTAATTGCATATCCCTGGACCATACAAGAAAAATGGGGAAAAAATAGGAAATAATCATTAAAATATTCGTTAAGGTACCGCTCCGGATGCCACTGGACTTAATAAATCTAATCAAGTTAGGGTCAAATTAGCCCATTAACACTACAAATAACACTGCCAATTTACAACAAAATTGGGTAAAGGGTATTTAAGATATTTACCCAATAGCATTTTAACTTAACTTAGCACCCTGTTTCTTCAAAACGTAGCAGCTACGGATCAATGTATATATGAACTTTTTGTCTTAAAATCAGTCAAATAATCGTCTGTTGGATTTATTGTACATATTTAATTAACACCCTGTATAAAGTAGTCGTTAAATATAATGAAAAATAAAAAAACAATAAATATATATAAATATATACAGGGTGATTCAGTCATAATGTCATTAATTTTAACCACGTATTCGGAAGGCTCAATAAAGACAGAAAATCGGAAAAAAATTTTACTCGACCTTTAAAAATGAAGGAAATCAACCCATGCTCGGAAAATTTTGTTACGTGATATTACTCGTCAGCTGAAGAGAACAGCATTGCCAAGTTCACATCATAATCTGTGGTTCACATTTACTTTGGGTTCCGCGTTAAACGTATCCACTTAATCCGTTTTAGTATACGTATACATATATACGAATATATATATTATAAATAATTTTAACAATTGTATTAACTTAGTGCAAAATATTTTAACAAGCCTGATTTTTCCAAGCCAACTTTCGTTAACAGAAAATAAATAAAGCAGAGGTAGTTACCTGTTTGTAGGCATACCGTATTTTATCAAATAATAAAGTCGGCACACTGAATACCCGAATATACGAAATACACTACACACGGTTACAAAACTATTAACAATTTAAAGCGTTTATTCAAATCTACTACCCTCCATATCTCCCGAATTTTTCCCGCAAAGGAGTGAAGATCACACCATACAGATGGAGAGGGGATATGGATTGGAAAACACGCGAAACCGTTAGTTTCGGATTGTTTAAATTGTCGGTCGTGATGGCTTTGTATACGAATGCCGAATATGTGGATATGGTGATTTTATGAGTGAGTGCGTACAGAACGCAAATGCTGCTGCAATTGAATATCGGAGACGTTTCCTTGATAGACAGAATTTCCCAAGTCCGCGGACAATTGTGCAAGCCGTCCAACCTCTTCGTGATACGGGGTCTATCATACCACGCAGAGAACGTGCAGGACATCGACAAAATGACTTAAATGTGATAGAGGCTGTAAATTTAGTTGAGGAGCAGCCTACTATTTCCACAACAATTTCAAGGCGACTGGAGATATCACAAATCAAAGTTTAGCGGGTATTGCGCGAGGATTCACTCAACCCGTACCATTTTCAAAAAGTTCAAGTTTTAGAACCAGCTGATTTCCCCAATCGTCTTGAATTTTGCAATTGGTTCCTAAATCGAAGTGCAGCAGAACCTAACTTTATTAACAAAGTGGTCTGGACGGATGAATTCTGTTTTACTCGTGCTGGCATTTTAAACAGGTACAATAAGTACCTACCTAGGTTACATACACCAAAGTTTACATTTACACTAAAGTTTACATTTATTATGGTTGCACGCAACTGCATATTGAATAATAAATTGAACATAATACCAAAATTGTGTATTATTTAACATAATAAATCAAAAAATGTGAAAACTTTAATAATATTAAAAATGATAAATTGTAATAACCGTACATTCGAAAACAATCATCCCTATTCATTTATTGTTTTAGCATCAACATTAATGAATAAATAACAATTGTTATCACAATATTTAAGGTAAAATATCTATTTATCGTGTATCGAGGCAAAAATGTTTGCAATACGCTTTTAAGGGTTTTAGAAATTATAATTTCTTTATACATTATAAGGGACGAAGGGATCAGTTCATGTCTGGCACCCTTGTTCCTACAAAAATTCCTTTATTCTCATAAACTATTTATTTTAAATGTAATTTATTATAAATACAATTTGTTTTTTAAATTCCACATATGTACTACATTTTACTTTTATACGCGCCTTTGTTGTTTACTTGTTTTTTGGGGGCGCTCTCTGATTTACGACCAAGCTCGCTACATTAGTATTTGACGTATAACTGACCACTTCGTACATTCGATGCACTTGGGCGACTACAGCTACTACCAGAACACAGTGCGTATTGCGGTATTTCAGATTTTATATTCAATTCCATTTTAAATTTAAAATGGTTCATCTTACGCCGCCTAAAAGTGATGACAAGATTTTCCTTTGATAAAAGACCGACAACTTTTTGCTCTAATTTTCATCGAATACGATCCTAGTACAGTTATATAGTGCACGTGCAAGGCAAAAGTGAGTTCGAAGGTTAGTGACCCGGACAGGTTAACCTAGGTCGGAAACACGTACTGAGTTGTTTATTTGTCCCCGTCCGATTGTTTTCTTTTTATGGAATATACAAGTCTCTCTTCTATTACTTACAGTCAATATTTAAATACTATATACATTTCACCCTCTCTTTATAATTTATCTAGTGAGTTTTGTTTTTTTATATCATTATTTCTGTAATGAAAATTATTTGAACTCTTGGAGTTTTGTAACTTCAATATTAAATTTTATTTAAAGTGAAACAAAGCTAATTTCTTTGCAGCCATAATAGTCACATTTGGTCAGATGAAAACCCGCACATTACTCGTCAGTTTAGCTTTCAGAGGAAATTCGATGTCAATGTGTAGCAGGAGTATATGGCGATCGGTTAATTGGGTCGCATTTTCTATCTGAACACCTGAATGGGCCGCGTTACTTTCAATTTTTAGTAGAATTGTTTGAAAACATTCATCTTCAGTTGCTACGGTATATGTGGTATATGAACGACGGAGCTCCGGCCCATTTTGCTCGTGATGTCCGTGGATTTTTAGACGATCAATGTCCAAATCGGTGAATAGAGAAAGGAGGGCCCATAAGATGGCCAGCGCGCTCGCCGGACCTAAATCCTATGGACTTTTGTATATGGGATTATATGTAATCTGGCGTTTATCACACCGAGGTAGAGAATGTAGAGCAGTTGCGGAATCGTATCGAAGATGCCACTGAAGAAATACGTAACAACCCTGGTTTATTCCATCGCATCCGCCGCTCATCTATCCAACGTGTACACTTGTGCATAGACGATAACGGTAATGTATTTAAATATTTGCTGTAAGCCCGAAGGCTTACAGCAAATTAAAAAATTAACATTATGATGTTAATAACTGATTTTTGGTAAGGCATGCTCAGAACTCCTCGAGGTTCTTGCTGGGCAACAATAACAATTTAATATGTTGATTGCATAATTATAAAAAATAATTTATAGCATTTTAAATTATTATTGGCTGACGTGGGCAAACCGTTTATTGCCTTTATATGAGCGAAAATATATAAATATGGCAACGTTGCATCTAGAGCGCCTTGTTCATATCGTTGCCGTGCGCAATACTGTGAATAACCGGCTGACGTCAGAAGGTCAGTAACAGCCTGAAAAGGGGGTTAAATAATGATTTGGAATTACTTTTTTTCAGCTTAAATATGCATTTATTTTTTTTAATCACGCCATTGTATTATACCTACTCATTTTTCTCTATCGCTTCTTAAAATCAATGACTGAATCGCCCTGTATAGGTGAAAAAAATATTTACATTTTTGCCTGAAGGAAGGGTACATATTGTAGACCCTGAAATTAGTAGCCAAATTTTGTTAATAAAAAAAGTTGTGAGGGAATTATGACTTTTTTTCGAAGACCTATGAACTCATTTATTTGAAACTTTGAAACTTTGAGGAATAACTAGAATAATATCGTTAAAATTAGATTAGCCAAAATTATTTGCCTAAAGATCAACTTTGTTATTGGGGCGTATTCTTACCGGCTATTATAAAAATGTTTGCTTCAACTTTTGGATTAGTGCTTCAAGCTTTAACAGAACAGAAACATTTGCTTGGTGGTTTATGATCACTTTCTAAATTTAAAGTTATTGATGCACGTAGTAGTTGTCAAGAATATATCATCTTTATCCCATCATTTTACATACTGAAATAATATGTTCACTTTAATAACTGTTTACTTACTTGGAACCAGGTTTGAAATCGGAACCATACCAGACCATCATGTGTAAAATATTTGCCGCGTACCTCTTGTAAGCTGTCACCTCAGTACCTGACATCTTAGTAAAAATTACTACTTTCAGGATTGATGGCACTGACAAAACAGTTATTAACCCAAGGATTTTGGAAAATAATAATGCGAATACATGTTTGTAGAAGAATCTTTGACCCCTGGAAAATATTGAAAAATTGGAAATATTGGAAAATGAATGTTAGTAAAGGCGAATCGAGAATAAATCTCAGGTTATCTTTTAAAATGGAGTTAGCACTGCAGCCATGTAAAGTTATACGGTAAATTTAGTAGTTATACGGTTAAAAACTGTGGAACAAACTGTATATTAGTGAAAATTTCGGTGCCAGTTTAAACTTACAGATGTGAGAGATACATAAATCGTAAAATTGACACCATCATTTAGCAAATGATGAACAAATAAATAGTAAATAAATGTTTGCTAGTTTCTAAAATGGCCGCTAGATGGCGTAACGGCCACAACTAAATAGAAAATTGGGATTTTCTCCATATTTTACTGAATAATATATGCAGTGTAATCCTTAAACAATGTTGAGTCTTTTTTGTTTAACACTTTTTGTTCTATCTCCAACAATAAAGTGGTGGGGAGACTTCAAAACAATTTTCTTTTAAATGCCGATTACTTCAGTTAGCCATGATGGAATTTATCAAATTTGGCTTCGTTGCAAAAAGCTTTCTTTAATCTATCGACTGCATTTTAAGCTATTTTTATTTAAAGATTATCGTCGTCGCTAGGGAGCGTTATATGACACGCTTACAAATTTCGCAATTTTTCTTAGAAAAATCAAATCGAATGGTATTTTTGTTTTTACACAATGAAATAGATCACTGAAGGCCTAAGACGTCAGTGAAAACCGCAACTCGATATATTTCGTATAAGGGCAGATATTAGCACACAAAGTTTAAATTATGAATTTACGCATCCTGCTGACGTAATATGAGTTGCTTACCACTTCTAGACAGAATTCTGAAGCTACCAAAGAAACTATAACATCTTATAAAATATAATAATTAAAAATGAATAATAATGAGAACGAATGTAATAGTAATAACAATAAGGTTTATAAAAAACCGTAAAAAAAAACAATATACAGGGTGTAACTAAATAAGTGTAAAACATTTAAGGGGGTGATTCCTCATCGAAAAAAAGATAGGATCGTTCATATAAAGAAACTTCATTGGAGCATCCCTTGTTAAGATACAGCCCCTTAAAGGGGGTACATAAAATTTGTTTAACAATTTTTTTCAAAAGCACTAAACAAGTTACAATATTGAAATTAACCTGACATTTTCTACTACCAAAAAGACACTTAGCCAGTAATTTATTTGGTTTACCCCATGGTTGTAAGGGGTGGAAAACGCAACCCCTAAAATTTATTTCCAACGTAATTTTTTGTCTTATTATTTTTTTACCATTTAAAAATTTATTTCCGATAGCCTGTTTCATTCTAAAAAAAAATGTCTCTTGAATTTTTTGCCCAAATTAAACCAGTTCGCAGCAAAAAATTATTTTACGAACAAGATACATATCGCCATAAAACGAAAATACGAAACTAATTTATCTAGTAGGCCGCCATTAGCGATACTGACAATTAAATTGGAATCAAGCTGTCAGTTTGTAAATTTTTGAAATTGAAGTAATACTAATTGTGTATTGTTCTGTTCTTAATTTGTTACTTTAATAATTCACTTGTTATTAAAATGGCATACACAAATGAGGAAATGGCTGATATGCATTACGTTTACGGTCTGTCGCAGGGGAATGGGTTAGAAGCTTCTACAAGATATGCTGAAATGTATCCTCAACGGCAGCATCCTTCACATAGAATATTTGTCTGACTTCATCAACGATTACGTGAATATGGTTCATTCAACAAAAGAACGCAGGATTGTGGTCGCCATCGAGAAGTAAGAACACCACAGCTTGAGGCAGCAGTACTTAATTTGATAGAAGAACAACCTACTACCAGTACTAGAAAGATTGCTTTCCAGCTAAATGTTGATCATATGACGGTATTTCGAATTTTAAAGGAACATCTCTTATACCCTTACCATCTGCAACGAGTACAGGCACTGTTACCGCGAGACTTTCCGAACCGTCTTGAATTTTGCAATTGGATGCTGGAAATGATTAGAAGAAATCGTGACTTTCTGAAGACGATCGAATTCACAGACGAATGTAGTTTTTCTCGGGACAAGATTATTAATTTTCATAATTACCACATATGGGCTGATGAAAACCCTCACGCTATTGTCGAAACTAACCATCAAGAACAGTTTTCTCTTAACGTGTGGGTCGGAGTTATTGGGGATTATTTAATTGGGCCTCATTTTCTACCTCCTCGATTAAATGGTGAGGCATACGTTCAATTTTTAAGAGAAGTGCATCCCGTACTGCTGGAGGAAGTTCCTTTGGGCGTCAGAAGGGATATGGTTTTTATGCATGATGGGGCTCCCGCCCATTTTAGTCAAGTAGCACGTCAGCATTTAACTGAAACATATGCAAATCAGTGGATAGGTCGAGGAGGACCACAGAATTGGCCCGCTCGATCCCCGGATCTCAATCCTCTGGATTTGTCTACTTGGGGCCATTTGCAGCATTTGGTTTATCGTACTCCTGTTCGCGATGTAGAGGACTTAAGAAACCGCATTATCGATGCGTGCAGGGTAATTAGAGAGACTCCAGGAATATTTGAGCGAATACGTGGCTCAATGCGCCGACGTCTAGACGCATGCGTAATGTCTGAAGGTAGACATATTGAACATTTACTATGATTTCTACATGTTGTATGTTTTGTTATTATTAAATTAGTTTTGATTATTCCCCTTTAATCATTTAATGCAGGTAGTAACTACAAAATAACAGTAAATCCAGTCCGCATTTATGACGATGTATCTCTGTAGTTGTTCGTAAAATAATTTTTTACTGCGAACTGGTTTAATTTGGGCAAAAAATTCAAGAGACATTTTTTTTTAGAATGAAACAGGCTATCGGAAATAATTTTTTAAATGGTAAAAAAATAATAAGACAAAAAATTACGTTGGAAATAAATTTTAGGGGTTGCGTTTTCCACCCCTTACTACCATGGGGTAAACCAAATAAATTACTGGCTAAGTGTCTTTTTGGTAGTAGAAAATGTCAGGTTAATTTCAATATTGTAACTTGTTTAGTGCTTGTGAAAAAAATTGTTAAACAAATTTTATGTACCCCCTTTAAGGGGCTGTATCTTAACAAGGGATGCTCCAATGAAGTTTCTTTATATGAAAGATCCTATCTTTTTTTCGATGAGGAATCACCCCCTTAAATGTTTTACACTTATTTAGTTACACCCTGTATTAGACCCTAAATGGATAATCTAGATGCTCAAAATGCCGTTCATCATTTTCAATACAAGAAATCACTCTCTGCCGAGTGGATAGAACGGAAGTCCACTGAAATACTTTGAATAACATTTCTTATTCTTTCAATCATGTCGTCTCTTGTAGTAGGTCTGGTGGAAAACACAAGCTCTTTTATTCGCCCCATAAATAAAAATCTAAACAAGTCAGATCTGGACACCTGGGTGGTCAAGAGAATAAACTTACACGCCTTATCCACCTGCCAGGATATGTTTGTTCCAAAAATTCTCAAACGTTTGCAGAGAAATGCGCAGAGCAGCCGTCGTGTTGGAAAAACATATCACGACGAATTGCCAAAGGTACGTCTTCTAAAAGAAGTGGCAATTCATTTCCTAAAAAAATTAGATAACGTTCTCCATTAAGGCGTTCGTTAATAATAAAAGGCCCAATTATTTGTCTACAAAGAGTTTCACACCATACATTTACAAACCAGCGACCCTGATATTGCACTTTTTCCATCCAGTGCGGATTTTCCTCTTCTAGTATGATGACGTCTTTCAGGATATTGCACCGCATAGACCCTAGTAGCAAGAGTTGCATTTCTCATGCATTCGAAGAAAATCGCTAACATGTCAAATGCTTCTTCATTTGCAAGAATCATTTATTTTTAGGAATTAATTTAAAATCCGAATTACAAATTCAGTTAGAAAGGAGGTAATAAGCACATTAACAACAATGAATGAATCTGAATATTTTTTTATATTATATTATTTCTGCATTGTCTCATTGCCGCAACTTATTTGTTTTCAGCGGCCACTTTGTCAATTTCGTAGCGAAATGTAATAATTATTCATAATTTAAACTTTGTGTGCTAATATCTACCCTTAGAAGAAAGACATCGAGTTGCGGTTTTCACTGACGTCTTAGGCCTTCAATGCTCTATTTCATCGTGCAAAAACAAACATACCAATCCATTTGATTTTTCTAAGAAAAATTACGAAATTTGTAAGCATGTCATATAAGGATCCCTAGCGGCGACGTTTTATAAATAAAAATAGCTTAAAATGCAGTCGATANAAGTCAGATCTGGACACCTGGGTGGTCAAGAGAATAAACTTACACGCCTTATCCACCTGCCAGGATATGTTTGTTCCAAAAATTCTCAAACGTTTGCAGAGAAATGCGCAGAGCAGCCGTCGTGTTGGAAAAACATATCACGACGAATTGCCAAAGGTACGTCTTCTAAAAGAAGTGGCAATTCATTTCCTAAAAAAATTAGATAACGTTCTCCATTAAGGCGTTCGTTAATAATAAAAGGCCCAATTATTTGTCTACAAAGAGTTTCACACCATACATTTACAAACCAGCGACCCTGATATTGCACTTTTTCCATCCAGTGCGGATTTTCCTCTTCTAGTATGATGACGTCTTTCAGGATATTGCACCGCATAGACCCTAGTAGCAAGAGTTGCATTTCTCATGCATTCGAAGAAAATCGCTAACATGTCAAATGCTTCTTCATTTGCAAGAATCATTTATTTTTAGGAATTAATTTAAAATCCGAATTACAAATTCAGTTAGAAAGGAGGTAATAAGCACATTAACAACAATGAATGAATCTGAATATTTTTTTATATTATATTATTTCTGCATTGTCTCATTGCCGCAACTTATTTGTTTTCAGCGGCCACTTTGTCAATTTCGTAGCGAAATGTAATAATTATTCATAATTTAAACTTTGTGTGCTAATATCTACCCTTAGAAGAAAGACATCGAGTTGCGGTTTTCACTGACGTCTTAG